AAAACAGTCATGCCTTTTCTTCTTCCAGGTTTCCTGGTTTCCTTCCCCATGTAAAATTTCGTGATGCTCGGGCCATAATTACGGCCTCAGGAGCGACCAAAAAATAAGAAATAAATAAAGAGTCTGGTCCATTATATCCAATAAATATTGACCGATCATTGCTTTAGACACTTTTTCCAACGGTTTTGGTAGTTTTGTAGATTTTGTCGGACGTTTTGAGAATTCCACAGGTCAATGACATAAAAGAATGATTCAAGTTCTGATACATTTGAAATCGCTAATAGGGAGCAATTTTTCATGAGCGTCGTTATAACCGATTGAGACTGTATAGCGATGCAGAGTATTATATGCCTAGCCCCTCAAACTAAACCCCTGGCCTTTTTGTGTTTTACGTTTTGAATGTGCGAATGGAAACGCTGTATGAAATAAAAGAACGCAATAAGCAGGCATTTCATTTAAATGAAATTATCTAAATTTTATATTCCGATTCCCATCGACTTTGTTTTTTTTTTAATTTTTGTACGACTAGCTGCCACATATCTAATGACTATTGTCCACATTAGAACTGGTTCTCCTATTTCAGAAACCGCATTTAACAAAATAGCGTTTAGTTACACAAAATGCAGGCGGCGGAAAATATTTTACAACCACAACAACAACAAAAACGGAAAAAAATGACGATGTTGTGGATGGTGATGATGTCACGATGACAACTGCTGCGATTCTTTTTTTAAGTGAATGAATGAATTTTGAATGGAATTTAAAATATTAACACCTACAGAATCATTCAAATTTTTAAAAATTCTCTCTGAGGACCTTCAATGTTAAATAATATTTCCTCCATATCTTTGACCCTAGCAGTATCAAGAAGAGCGCATCATAAATCACCTGTATTGAGGCACTCCAACATAGCTTTAGGTCTTAAAGGTAATGGTGAGGTTATCGGCCAATAAACGATATGTTATTGGTATTGCGTAGTTTGTCTCGGCGATCTTGGGTATGGAGAGTGTCGTGGCTTTATATGGTGAAATGCAATTTCCTTCATCTCATACCATCTGGGTGTTTAAAGGGTAAAAACTCTTAGTTTTATTTTTTATATATTATATAAAGTTTCTGTCCCACTTTCGATATTATGTATAGTTCTAGCCGATGTGATAATAATATCAACACGACGCTGTTTTTACCATTAACGAAAATGTAAAGAGATATACTTCGGATGTTAATCATTGACCCGATTAGCATCGTGTGATGTAATTACGAACTCTTATATGAAGTCGAGGTTTAGATCTTAAGGTCTTCTTCATCGAGAAGCTAAGGATGTTAATAATCTTCATCGAAGAGAAGCTTGAGATCTTCTTCATTCAAGAGACTGAAGTTTTTCATAGAAGAGTTTGGAGTTGTTCACCCCAAGGTCATTTTCATAGAATAGCTTGAGATCATCCTTATAGAAGAGATTAATGCCTTCTTCATAGAAGAGCTTGAGGTCTTCTTCATAGAAGAGCTTGAGATCTTCTTCATATAAGAGCTTGAGATCTTCTTCATAGAAGAGCTTGAGGTCTTCTTCATAGAAGAGCTTGAGGTCATCTTCGTGAAAAATATTGAGGTCTTCTTCATGAGAAGTGAAATATTAAAAGGTTTTATAAAAATGTTATAGATTAATCCAGTCACTATTTTTAATAAAGAGTAAAATTTAATCATTAATAAATTTGTATCAGATTTTGTTTAGCAGCATCAATTCATTTTGTCATTTATGTCAATTTATTGCCACAATTTACAACCGTAATTCAATAATAGTCCAAGGGGAGATTGTCTGAAACTCCCAATAGTATTTTCTAATAAAACCGCAACGAACTTTATTTGTGGCACTAATCAAGTGATCCATTTATTCATTTGTTGTTGTGGTCAAACAATTATAGATCTCCTGGGGGCCTTCGACAGGTTTGCACAGTGGTTGCACTTGTATTAAAAGTTATGAAAAAAACATTTTCACATATTTAAATCAGAATGATTGTAATATGGAATATCTGATTATTTGTGAGTGGTTTCACAGTCACTTCTCTATTTCAAATACTGTATTGACTGTAATCATTTATCGTGGGTACCCTCCCCAATAATTTTTTTCATATATTAATATGTGCAGGAATAGAGTAAAAGCGTAAAACTTGTTTTCATTTCAATTTTTTCTATGGCCAGCGACCACTGTACATTGGTTTCAAAATGTTCTGACAAATGCTCTGTTCTAAATACCAACCAACCACAGCAGTCACTCTGACATCCGTTTGTGTTTTACACTGGCACTGTAAAATCTAACTAAAATTTTAATTGAATTGAATTAAATTTAACTCGTTTGTCACAGTTTTGTTTCTGCTATTTTTTTTTTGTTTTTGTCAAATTGGAATTCATCAACACCACCGGACACAGACAATAACAACAAACATTCAATCTCCCCAATGACCGACCCATTGTTTGTAATTCACTTTGTAATGTTCTGATGTTGTGTTCTGATTTTAATGGTGCGTTTCCATTTGCAGTGGTGTTCCCCTGAAAATCATGAATTGATTCATTCCAAATATGGAACAACTGCGGTATTGAGGGAGAAGTTTAAGGTTAACATGACTCTGATTGTCTGGTCTATGGGTTTTCGAAGTTTAGTCTAGACTAAAATGAGTGTAATTTAATGGAGACAATAAATAAATACTACGCGTCGACGACGACATAGTGGCATGCCATCGTTATGTTTTCATTTAACAAAGGAACTTCACCCAACGATGAATGTGTGTTTCCCATGGAAACGTTTTAATAACATGGTTGTTTTGGTTAGGAGGGGTGTTGGTTGGTTCGTTGTGCGACAATAACAACAAGGGTGCAAAAGTATTTTTTTTAGAAAATTGATTATGAACTTGAAATATATATAGGAAAACTTTGTTATTTCCCATGTGACATGTTCGGAATATATAATAAAATGCACTTGAATACAAAATATCCTTAAGTGCTGCAATCGGGGAAAGTGACTTTCGTATTTTCATAAAGAAATAATATAAATGGATTTAATCAATTAAATATGAGCGTCAAAAAATTAGTTTCAAACCCAATAATTCTTGAGTCTCCAATTAGCTCTAGAGATCTGAAGTCGAGATTTTCTTCATAAAAGTATTAGTGGTTTTGTTCATTGAAGAGCTTGGGGTATTCGTCAGCCAAGAGCTGTTTTTCTTCTTCATCGAAGGGATTAAGGCCTACTTCTATGTATAGTATGAGGTCCTCGATAATATTGATTTCTTCTTAAAAAAATAGCTTGAAAATTTCTTCATCGAAGAGCTTGAGGTCTTCTTCATCGAAGAGCTTGAGGTCTTCTTCATCAAAGAGTTTGAGGTCTTCTTCATCGAAGAGCTTGAGGTCTTCTCTCTTCTTCTTCATCCCCATAATAAACTCAATTTATATGTGGTGGTCTTCTTCATCGAAGCACTTGGCGTCATCCTCATAGAAGAGTTCTAGAACTCGCTCATAGGAGATCTAAAGGTCTTCCCCACAGTAGAGCAGAAGTCGTCTTCATCGAACAACTTGAGGTCTTTTTCATAGAAAAGTTCAGGTCTTATTCATAGGTCTGCTTCGTAGAAGGAGTTGAGGTTTTCTTTACCGATAACCGTGAAGTATTTTTCCTCGAAGTCTTCTTCATAGAAGATCTCGAAGTCTCATCATTATTTCGATTAGAGGTGAAGGTATTCTCCATAGAAAGCTGAAGGTCTTCTTCAAATAAGATCTCGAATCTTTTCTCCATTGAATAGCTAAGGTTTTCTTAATATCAGATCTCGAAATCGTCTTCATCGAAACTTTAACGAACAACTTGAGAACTTCTTTATAGAAAAGCTTCTGGTCTTATTCATAGGTCTACATCGTAGAAGATCTTGAGATTTCTTTCACAGATAATCTTGAGGTCTTTCCTCGAAGTTTTTCGTCTCTCATCAATATCATCAATATTCCTATTATTGATGGAATATTTAAAGTAAAACAGTAAGTGTTTCCGCACACACATACCATATCTCTTTCAATATTCTTGTTTTAAATTTATTTTTCAATATTGATTGCAAAAAAATGCTTGAAACGGTAATTTCAATAACGCCTGGCACGTGTGTGATTCACTGTTTCTTCTTTTTGGGGTTATACTTCTATTCGGCGTACGGCGGGGGTACGGAGATATGCGACATCATTTTATGCAATCGTCGGTCATTACGAAAGATGATGACTCATAAAATGCCACAAGGACTACTCGATTAGATCTAGACCGGCAAACATAATATGCTGTGATTATGTGGCATATTTATGAAAGAGAGAAAGAAAGGGGCATGTGCATTTGGAATGAGTCGAACACACACACTGTTTTGGGGAGGATTGGGTCGTGGTTTGTAACAATGTTATGCTATTACATCCCTTTTTGCCAGTCTGCTTGCCCAGCCGAAAGGGGTGTTGCAAAGTGAGGTTAGTTCTTTTATCGGACGACATTCATGGCATGCCAGTTAAATGCCAGCAAAGTTTGTTATCTGTTTTCTTACATCTGTGAAATATGTTGAGCATCTGCGCATGATTTTCTTTTTTGGTTTTTTAAGGGAATGCATTTTTATGCCGCCTGCAAGAAATGAAAATCGTTTCGAAACTTCAGTTGATTGGAGTTGAAGTGGTGGTAAGGTCATTGTGAAGTCTTTGAATTTTGGTTTTAAAACTTCTTTAAATTATTTGGTGTCGTATAAATTTGGATTATTTCCAAAAATTTGCAATAATTATATTATTGGATTCGGATATAGAAAAAAAGCGTGGTTTTGAAACTGGAATGTGAAACAGGTTTATAAAAATAGAGAACCTTTTTTTTGAATAATTTTTCTTTTTGATTTTCTTAATTACAACTTGTATTTGAAAAATATGCAGTTTTTCTTAACATATACAAATTATTTTTTTTTTTTAAATCTTAATGTATTTGCATTTTAATAAAAATTTTATTATTTATTTTTCTATTTACAGTTAAATACTTAAAACAATGTCTACCAGTCCGAAGCCAGTTAAAAAAGTTCCCATCCATTTACAGGTAAGTCTGAGAATAATTTATTTTGACTTTCCCTATCGAATATTTAATGTGTGCTTAACATTTTAGAGTGCTCAAAATCGGGTTTATATCAAAAATGGCCAAATTGTTAATCACGACAAAACCTTCAAAGCCGATGTCTACATTGAAGATGGCACAATCAAGTAAGTACCGTTACAATCATAAGCGAAAAACTTTTGGAACCAAAATTTGTATATGTGGAGCAGTTGAACCTTAGAATACTTCTGGGGTTCTTCTTCTTATGAAAACAATATTATGAGGTTAACATTCGCGAATTTTAAATATATCTCTGCAGTTTCAAAATGTGATTAAAATTATTGTTACCTTTTCGTGAGTTATGTATGTTCAATTTTCGCTCAAGTTGTTGGATTGTCAGTTTGTTTTTGACAGATACAAATGTTAGTCGTGTTTTGGTGTACTCTTCGATCTTTATACGCATATTAAATTTGTCATTCTGTTTGAAACACATGTATATATTCCCCGAGACCCCATAAAGTATATATTGCTGGCTTAACGTGAAAACGTAATAAGTCCACTTTTAATAGAAATTGTTCAATAAGTAAAAATACATTGATTTAACAAAAAAATCTACGTACTTACGATTTCGGTCGGTTTGGTGTTTTACTCGTTGGTAAAATGTTTAGTCTTCATTCTGACTACTGTATATCTCGATTTGCTCATGCTCGTATTTTTATCGCACATTTGCTGCTACATTAAGAAGAGTGTGAACCTTGTAGTAGAATATGTATATGGTCTGTTCATCTTTGTCTTCCGTCGGAGTATGGGCGCAAATTAGACTGATGTAGAAGAACTACGGATTATAGCAATTCGCTCATCTACTGGAGTGAATCTGGAGACTAGGTCTTTTATTCTCCTGTTAACCATAAATTCGAAGCAAAATCGATGTCGCGTATCATGGGAGCTATAATACAGTGTGTAATCATCTGATTTACTTACGCTTGTCCCTTTCCCTCGCATTTTCTGTAAGGCTTTGTACTTCTTGAGTACATCCGCCAAAGCGAAAACTGCGCAGTCCAGGTACATAGTCGCAAATCGTGGTCCTTTTACGTTTGCGGGGGTTGTCAACATTAGGAGGTTTGGGTTTCTTTTCGTTGATTTTTTCATAGTAGGACGGGCTTAAAGTAGGTGATTAAAGTAGCTACCCTAGGTGACACTGCGATAAGCCTGGGCTTTGCCAAGTTGAAGCCAACCAGAGCCGTTGCTTGTTGTTTTGTAGCAAGTTCAATTTATCACCTGTCGCTGGCTGTTTTTTGTCTCATATAAAATTTTAAAATATGGACTTATTGCCTATAACATATAACTGTACCAAAATTTATTAATATTGACCCAAGTTTCTGGGCAGCTCCTATATAACAATACTCCCCAATACTTGTTATTTTGGACAACTTTATCGACCGAAATGGCTGTAATTTTATATTTTGGGTTCTCATTATTATAGCCCCATATAACGGAAGCCTTACTATGGTATATGAGAACTTCAATCATCTTTTTCTCACGTATTTTTCGGTATATTCAAGGTCCTATCATAACCTTGCTTTTCTCCTAGGAGCCCCCACTAATTTTAAAACTATTATTGTCATCGTTTTTACTTGTTCAACCTAATCAGCTGTAATTTGGCGTTTCGGGTTTTCACTCGATAGAAAATCTTTCTACTAAAATTAATATTGATCTACCTTTAAGTGTAGCCCCATACAACGATACATCCCTAATTTTGGACGAGTTTTAACCAACTTGGCTGTCTCATTATTCGGTATTTTAGGGAGTTTGGGTACTTTTTTTAACCGAATTGGTTCTTGGGTGTAATATCTTCCTACCAAAACATATCAGTATCGGTCAATCTATTGATATAGCTTCAATATGACGGTACCGTCCCATTTTCCTTATTTGAAGGCTTTAGCCGCATTTTCCCACCGATGTGGCTGTGGTATAAAGGGTCCTTGAAGGCTGACATACATATATACAGAACATAATTAATATAGGTTTATGTTTGGCCATAACCCCCCATATGGAGTTCAGCAAAACCTCTTTGCACTCCATTTGAGACATCTCCAAAACAGGGAGGGTTGAAAAAGAAATTTTTGAACTTTGAGAAGGTTGTCTTATGCAGTCAAACTGCAACCGACCTTAACAATATAAAAATCATATCACTTTAATTCCCTCCCCTCTTAGTAAAGTGATGACAAGAAAATTATGCCTTCACATTACTGAGTTCGACTCCTGCAGATTACAAATGCACAATGCCTATTTAATAACATTTCCATTAATTAAAATATTCTTATAAACTTTCAGATTTGTTGGACCACCCTCCGAAATTGTTGTACCTGGCGGTGTGCGTATCATCGATGCTTCCGGTCGTTTGATCCTACCCGGTGGCATTGATCCACACACTCATTTTCAATTGAAAGTTGCGGGAACAGTGACGGCCGATGATTTCTATCATGGCACTAAGGCAGCTGTGGCTGGCGGTACCACCACAATCAGTGAGTATCAACAATTAAATTTTACCATTACCCATTTAAATGTAGACTCATATTCTTAACATTTTATTGTACTTTTACAGTCGATTGCGTATTTCCGGATAAAAGTGAATCCCTTGTAGAGGCGTATGATACATGGCGTGCGTGGGCCGATCCCAAGGTATGTTGCGATTATGCTTTACATGTGGGGCTAACTTGGTGGTCCAAATCTGTGTCTTCGGAAATGAAAATCATGTGCGAAGAATTGGGTGTGAATTCGTTTAAAATGTCCATGGCCGATAAGGGTGTTAGCCAATTGAATGATTCCGAGCTGTTGGATGCCCTGGAACGTATACGTTCCTTGGGCGCTTTGGCTTTGGTTCATGCAGAAAACGGTGATATTATTGCCAAAAATGTATCGAAACTTTTGGCTTCAGGTGTTGTTGGTCCAGAGGGTCATGAACTGTCACGCCAAGAGGAAGTGGAAGCAGAAGCGGTAAATCGGGCTTGTATTTTGGCTCATCAGGTATGTTTGGATTAAAAAAATAATAATCAGTTTTGAAAATGATTTATCTCCTTACAGATGAAAGCTCCATTGTATGTGACATCCATTACATCCAAAACCTCTGCTGAAATTGTAGGACGTGCCAGACGCAGCGGTTACTGTGTCTTTGGTGAGACATTGGCCAGTTCAATTGGCCGCTCCATGCATGGTATTCCCAAACATGAGCGTATCTATTACGCTACATGTCCTCCAATTCGTGAATCCCCTGAAACTCCCAGCCAGTTAATGAAATCATTGGCTTAGTAAGTGGTCTTGAGACTTTTATCAGGAATATGATCATTAATGGGTTGATTTTTTTTCGCAGTGATGATCTTCAAGTTACCGGCAGTGATAATCGCACCTTCAAAAAGGAAGATAAAGCCCGTGGCATGCATGATTTCTCGAAAATCCTTAGCGGTACAAATGGTGTTGAGGATCGCATGTCAATTGTTTGGGAAAAGGGTGTACACGCTGGTTTGTTCGATCCCAGCCGTTTTGTGGCCGTTACCAGTACCAATGCTGCCAAAATCTTCAACCTGTACCCACAAAAAGGACGCATTGCTGTCGGTTCCGATGCTGATGTTGTCATCTGGAATCCCAATGCTACCCGCACTATTTCCAAAGATACCCATCACCACCGTGTTGATTTCAATATTTTCGAGGGTATGGTCTGCCATGGCGTACCCGAAATGGTGTTGGTCCGTGGTCGCGTTTGTGTTGAACATGGCACGGTGCGTGTAGCCGAAGGTTTTGGTCGTTTCTTGAATCCCGAAGTTCGTTCACCATATGTCTACGATGTCTTGGAGGGTAAAGTGAAATTGAACGAAGAACGTAATGGCGATGACCAGCATGTCGACGAACAATTGAATGGTGATATGAAAAAAATGAATATGACCGCTTTGGAAATTGAGATACCATATCAGGAGTCATTGTCACCATCTCAGGGTCTGGCAGCGGGTGGTGGTGGAGGTTCGTTGGGTACAAATTCGCCATGTGGTCTCGGCCATGTGCAAGGTTCAAGGAATATGCAAGAATCGACATTTTCAATAAGCGGTAAGTGTTATACAGATTCGAGTAATTCGATTCTATATTGTAAGGTTCTACGTCTGGAATTAAATAATATTGCAGAAGAAAATATAATTTTAAAATAAACAAATGTTCGGTTTGGCATTCACATTGTAATCGTGAATAGGTTAAGGCCTTTCGAACAAGGAATCGATATTCGTATCGTAATTGATATAATCGTATTTTTCAACATTAGCCCGATCCTTGTTAAGGAAACCTATTACATTTCGGATATTATGGGGAACTGTCGGCCAAACTACTTAACAAAATTGATTCATAAGAGCCATATAGAAGACTTAGCATTCCGGCTAATTTTTTAACGGATTTCCACATGTCAACTCGACTTTTGTAACAGTCCTAGTTAAACGATTAAAAGTATGTGTGTAACCAATATATCGTTAGCTAAAATGCAAAAAGGCGTAACTAACAAAAAATTGAAAATTGACTTTTTGAATGAATATTGTGAATGTCAATAAACTGCATGTGTTGACAAAGTTTTACACGTCGGCGGTCAAAAAAGGAGCTTCTATTAACAAATCATCATCTTCATTTGACTTGTTTATAGTTTTCATTCAAAACAGTTTTGTGCTTCTCCTACACAATTATGCTTTTGTTAGTTACGCCTTTTTGCATTTTAACTAACGATATGCTACCGATAATTTTTTAACTGTAGAAGTTAAATTATTTTCAATGTTTAAAATTTTTTTAAGGTTCGGGATTACAGAACATATGTTACTTTTTATACTCTATAAATAAATATTAATTAACCATTACCTCTTCTTCATTATCTTTCAGAGGAATTGGATAAATCAGGTAATCGCTCCTGCATCAAAGTTCGAAATCCTCCTGGTGGCAAATCATCTGGCTTCTGGTAAATAAATCGGTCACCACGCCGAGAAGGAAATATCCTCATCGCACAACAAAGCTAACAAAAATTCAAAGCAACAATTTATTATGAATTTGTCAAGGAGAGGAATGGTAATTGGGTGTCAACCCTACTCATTCCTTTGGAGTATAACGACAGCAACACTTAATTGACCAATTATAAAAATAATTATATACACACACACATAAATATTAATTTATTTTGTTTTCTATTTATTTATATATTATAATATTTTAATATTACAAACACACTGACTAACACCCACACACTTACTTAATGCTAAATACCAAAATCAAATTGTTTAATATTTTAAATTAAAATATGAGTTGGTTTTTGTTTGTTTTGTTTTTGAAGCAATATTATAATTGAAACAAAACTAGTTATACAAAAATATACATAGATATGTATAAGAAAACTAACAGCATACCTACATACAAATGTATTCATTCACATTACCATTAGGATAGGTACAGATATATACAAAATTATATTATCTTCATATAATACATTTATTTATATTACTAATTGTAATCCCCAAAATGGAGGGTGAGCCAGCATGGTCCCATACCCTATAATAATTTCAAATAAATATACATACATACTTATTTTTATTTAATATCACCCAAGTGAATTCAGTTTTATTATTATTATTCTGTTGTTAATAACTTTGTTAACTTAAATGTTTTATTTTTCAAACATTTATTTCCAAGTGCTTTAAATTATTTCAATTCAGTTTTAATTAATTTAAATATATAGCGTCAAATATAGCTAAAGTGTTGTAGGAGAGTTTCATTGCATGACAGAATTAGAATAGCGAAACAATTGTCTATAGTCCTTCTAACGCGAATACAAAATGGATTCGACTCCCAGAAAACAAAAAAAAATTGTTCAAAAGACAGACAGAAATCCAATAAATCGTAAATCATAAATCGTCTTTAGTGTAAAAAACCAAAAAAAAAAAAAAAAAAAATAATAATAATATATATATATTTATTGCTTTTTCATAATATTTTTTACATATAAAAAAAGAAAAAACAAAAACTACAATATTAACATTTATTCTCGTGCATATTATCCATTAAATAAGTGAGTATGTATTTACATTTAAATAAAGAAACGGATATAAACAAACAAATCTATTTAGAGTTTTTCATTTCTTACTTGGCATAAGCGTCATGTGTCATATTTAGGTACCACAATCGTTTGGGAATTAGCTCTTTCCATTGAATTTTCCTGTTTGTGGGATTTTAAGCTTCAAAAAATATGTTTTATTCGACAGATGTTATAGTACGTTTACATTGTATCGGATTTAGTTAACCAAGTTGGTACCAATTGTCTATTCCATTGCCTATTTTTCAAATAAATCCTCATATAGTAGGTTAACCCTGCAAAAAGTTCTAATGTTAATGCCGTTTTAGACATAGCTCAAATATAAGGGCAACCCGCATCCATTGTCATTTGGCACTTTGGGTTCTTATTGGATACCACATCTTCACACTAAAAACTATCAATAACTAACCACTTTTTGGCGTAGCCCCCATATGAAGTTACCCCAAAAAATGCGTATCTTGAGGATTTCGAAAAAGTTTTTCAATCAAATTGGCTATAATTTAGTATGTTGTAATTGGGTACAAAATCTTTCCACCAAAAACTATCAATATTGGTCCATTTTTTTTTGGTAAGTCCCCATATAATGCAACAAAAAAAAATTTCGGTATTTTTCCACCGAATTCGATTAGGTTCTGATTGGGTACTAAATCTCTGCATTCAAAATTTGGTTGGAACGCAAATCCGAATATTTAAGCCACATGAACACTCATCTTTCTACTACAATAGAAAAGGATACTTCACTATAAATGCAATGATTGTCGTAAAACTATTTTTTGTGTGTTAGGTTTGTGACTATAAAAAGAGAATTACAGCTGTGGACAGCTAGAACTAGGGCAACTAGGACTAGTAATAAGTACGATATTAACCCTAAAATGAGTTTTTGTTTTTTAAGATTTTTAACGTTTAGGCTGATTTTTGAGTTTTAGTCGATTCTGAGACTTATAGTAAAACTTTATGGCGAACATTTCTGTAGAATATTCTGAGCAGCTTTAACCCCGTTTTGAATGAGTTTTCAATCACTCCTGGAAAATGGGACCGAAAAGACCCCTTTAATGAGTCGGTTGAGGGTTAAAGTTGTATAGCAAAATATTCCCTGATATTTTATCAGTAATATTGCCGAAGACACTATATACCTAAAATGCAAGGATTTCATGAAATCATAATTCGAAAATTATAAAAATTCTAGAAAAGGGGGAATATTGTCCCCCCCTTTTTAGGTTACCTCCCGACGTAAACTTTCAAAACGCCGATACACGTGTCTTCTTTTTTTAGCCCCTCTTTCATAATCTGTTAGAATTTCCCGGTAATTATCAAAAAATTCAAATTTGTCGCACAGTGTTATAATCCTTAAAAGGTTGTTCAAATTCTAAACGTTTTGTTTCTAAATAATCTGACATGTCTGCCAAAAAGAGCCTACAAAATTTACATGCTTCAGAAAAAAGGAGCCTTTTTATTTTCTTTAATTTTACTAGAAAAGCTAATCTGAATACTGTATTTTTTAATTAAATGTTGTAAAAATAAGTTAAATAATATTAACTCTGCGATCTTTTTAAACTTCTATGTAATCAGAGAAAAACATACAATCTCCTTTCTTTTTCGATCTACAAGGCTATATATGCTCGAATTATATTCCCAATATTTTTTGGGAATTCGGAATGGAGCACACCAAATGTGGCAAAATGTTTCACATTTGAGCAAACTCGAAATGCAGCACATGGGCGTATATATTAAAATAGTTAACTGATTTGTTCGCGTATTGTGGTTGTCCCCATATAGGTATTCCACCATAGTATGGGTACATTCTTTACTCGGAATTATCAGTTTATACCCTACAAAGTGTGGAATTATAAGATGATTTAGCCATCTGATATTATCGAGATAAAAAATTCGAACCTGACAAGAATGAAGTATATCGGCCCGTATTTAGGCTAAACCCATATATAAAGGTACCTTCAGAATTTAAAATAAATCATTTTTATTACAAAAGCAAATTAAAAATCTGTATATTAATGAACGTAATTTGTTCAGATTATTTTCATTCTTAAATAGCATTGTCATAAAGGATGCAACAAAATAGTGAATTAAAAAAGTGGAAAGAAATCAACTTCTAAAGTTGTGTTGAACTGCTATTAATTTGCAAGCTTTTGTATATCGCTCCTTAATAAGGCATAAACCCTCATACAATGATAATACCAAATAATCGTTAATTCCTATAAGAGGTAATCAATGTTGGACCGCTTTAGCCTCATATAACTTTGCCCTCAAATTTTCAGAATTTTAAGGATTTTATACACATGTTCCACCCCACCATGCGTTATCAATATCGGTTCACGTTTTTTTAAAATTTGCTAAATTTGTATTTGATGTACATTATAGGAGGTGATGCAAATGTGGTATACCCATTTGTTTTTAGATTGCCAAATTTTTATTTTGTATCCGATTAAATTGAAATTTTACACTTAACATGCTACATGTGTTGTCTTTCCATGTATCAATTTGAAAATAATAATATTATTCTAACAATTTAATTTGAGAAAATATTTGAAATCCCATAAAAAGTGATTTAAAAAAGGGCAGGTAATGTGGTATACCACATGATGTTAATGTGGTATAGTATAATGTTCACTTCCAATTCATATCTTATATAATTTATTGTTTTTAATGAATGCGAATTAGCTCCAGATTTATGTCTGTTAAGATTTTTAACGGATACGTTGAGTGCAACTTTAATTTTTATTATATAATAATGTCTACATATGACAATGTTTAATTTTTGTATGGAGAAGTTGTTAAAACTCATAGCCTTCGTTTTTCATCCTTGTGATTCATGGTAGACTCTCGTAGAGTACGAATATTTCACATAGTAATGAGATTTTGTCTAGTGCTGGACTTTTTTCATGCGGAATCAAGTTATACCACATTACCTACACTTGTGTTTACTGAAGAAATGTCTAGTTTTTTTCCTAAATTGGTGATTATGTGGTGCAATCGCGCATATTATTTGATTTTTAGTTCATACTAATTATTTCAATGCTTTGGTAATAACGATTAAATTATATTCGTAAAACAAGAAATTATTTTTAAAGTTCAACCGAAAAAAGTCAATTTCATGAAAAATTTAATTTTTGGTACTGATTCTCAACGTGATTTAAATAAATTAAATAGATCATTACTATCTTATTTTCTTGAGAACAGCAAACTATAGAACATGTTTCAGATATTCTAAAATTTTCAGTTTACAAAAAAAGTGACTATACCACATTACCAATCTATACCACATTTGCATCACTTCCTCTATGGTTTACAACAATCGATTGGTAGATTTGTCGGTATAGATCCAACTTTTGGTATTTTCCCATATTTTTAATTTTATGTAACCATCAGTATACCTATGGTAGAGGGTATCAAAAGTTCGGCCGGGCCGAACTTTATCCTTTTCACTTGTTTTTTTATATCGTACTCTACTGAAAAAACTAAATGGTAATAAAACAATTAAGAATTTATCAGTCAGTGTTGTCGATAGATACATACCCACAGACTATGAAGTTTTTATATATTATTTAGGACAGTTTGTGGAGGTCTACGAGGTCACAGACCCTGGGTCAAATTAGAGCAAATTTTACTGTCCCTAATTTTAGTTTATTGAAGATATAAAATACAACAATCAAATCGGATAGTAATGCCATATTTGATTACATTTAAAAAAATAAAAATGTAACCAAATATGGCATTAGTATCCGATTTGATTTAAACGTTGTATTTTATATATTCAATAAGCTAAAATTTGGCACAGTAAAATTTGCTCTAATTTGACCCAGGGTCTGTGACATTTTATTTGATTTTTGGGAGCATAATACTGTGTTTACGATAAATATTAAAGTCTTACAGTGTTGATAATGTGACGGGGGAGGAAGTGGCCATATAAACA